TCCTCCTCTTCCTCCATCAGTGTCAAGGGCTGATGGTAGTGTAAGGAGAGAAGTACGAAGAGAATCATCAAATTATATGATTTTATTTCTTATTATTGTTATTGTATTAATAATATTATTGCTGATTGCAAGGAGACTGAGTGGTGCTGGTGATAATGGTAATGAAACTAGTCATTAGTAGCTATGCAAATAACACATTTTATATTGTGTCATTTATATAATAGTTTATTTATTTATTCATAAAAAGAAAGGTACAATACTGTAATTCATTTCCGGTTCCTGCTCAAATCTGGTGAAAGGCTAAGTGGGGCGGGCAGGCCCAGGGTAAACTGAAAACTGTGCTGTGTTGATACACATGCAAAAGTCATGTCTAATAAGGCAGGGGAAGATGTCGAGGAGGTCGTCGCTGGCATGGAATATCCAGTAATTGAAGAAATATCCCTGAAATTTAAGCCAGAGAACACGGTAAGATCAGTAATGCTGTACTTTACCAAGCGACTTTACTAACTGGACTAAACTAAACCTTTGTAGCCTTGGTGGATTAACTTGTGATTCTCAACAGGGAATTAATATTTTGCATGCTGTCCCACGAGTTTCGTTACACTTTACATTATGTGATTAAAAATTGTGCCAGTTAAATTATGTGATTTTTATGGCAGTGTGTTATAAACAATGCATTTTGGCCTATAAACTACAAATTTCATCAGCAGCTAAATTATAAAAGGTCACATACTACATGTACATATATAAAGCATATCAAATCCCCAGCACTCACTTATTACTATTATTTTTATAGCTTATTGGGGTAGGTGCTTCTGGCAGAGTGCGCTTTGCAACACATAAGGGAAGAGATGTTGCCGTCAAGTATTTCAGATCAGTAAGTGAGAAAGAAGAATTTGAGCAAGAGGTCAGTTTAATAGTGACACATTAATTTACTATCTTTTCTCCCCCTATAATTCAGGTATTAAATTCAAAGGCTCTTCAGAATCATGATAATATTGTAGCCATCCTTGGAACAGGGCCAAACAAGGTACATAGTGCATAGGACTGCACGGGAATCCCAGTTGGTAGTATAAGCTATTAAATGAGGACATCTATATGTGTACTGTTTATCTGTATATGTGTAGTACCAATGGTATTTTGAATAAAAAGGTTCCGCATGTACATGTGTATACATGTATGTATCATTGTATAGACTGCTTTATATGAAACTTGCTTGGGGCCCTCCTAAGATTTTTCACCCATGTTTAAGGTTTACTGAAGATTTGTAGAGAATCAATATTGAGGAGTTATTCACAAAAAATTTTATTAGTTCACAAACTCTAAGTGTACAAAAATTTTGTAGCAACTTTAAAATTTTCTAAAAAAATCCAATTTTAATTGGAATCAGTTCAAGCTCTCTACACAACATACATGTAATAAGAAATACTATATGTGCATGTATACTGTATGCATGTTAATATAGCATCAAGAATTTCATTTACCTTTCTTTTTTTATTATTTTAGCTCTTCATTGTGAGGGAATTCGCTCCTTATTCTTTGAATAGAGGTACATGTACATGTATATGAACATTTTGTTTTTTAAAATGCAATAAAAATTTTTAAAAAGTGATCTTTGAGCCGTTTTTGGAAAAAAACCATAGACTATAATTTTTGTTTCTTCCATAAAAATTAATTTCTACTTTTAAAAATGCCTATAGCTCAAAAAATGTTTGTCAGAAATATCATATACTAATGTAGCAGCTCTTTATTTCTCTATTGCAGTATTACATGGTTCTTATCCTCATCGCTATACTTATGAATATGATCATGTGATGCATTGGGCTCGTCAAATTGCTGTAGGTCTAGAATACTTGCACAGTGTAAGGATAATATATCGAGGTGTAGAACCATCAAAGTAAGAATGAAGTACATGTAGGAAAATAGTAGCATTAATTACATTCATACCTTTTACTAAGTTTTTGCATGTACACGTACATGTATAAGTTTTATACACGTGGCATACATTATGCTCTTGGCCCGGTTTTGAAAGAAATATTTGTTTTACTTCCAAGGCTTGGAATTTAAGCCTCAATGGAAAATACTTATTTAAAAATAATCTTTTTCAAAATTTTTCTAGTCTCCTTCTGTTTGGTAATGGATCCCTTTTAAAACTATGCGATTTTAGTCATATTCCTGATGCTTTACTTTGTGGTCCAGTGAGGTATATAGCACCTGAAGTTTTTCTGGGTATGACTAATAATATAGACTGACTACATGTACTTAGAAATAGACACAGAAATTGGTTACCATATAGTGTTTTAATGTGGTAGGGTTTTATTTTGGCAATTGGCCATTTGCAAGAAAAATTTTAAAGATATAAACAGCAAGTTATTAATGTACATGCTCAGTAATGCAAGATTGTTACAAGAATCACCAAACTAAAACCTGAGTTACAATTTAATAGTGAAATTGCCAAAATAAAGCACCACCAATTTAATCATTGTAATATTTAAGCAAAAATCAATTTAACACAACAAGTAAAAGACTACAATACCATTATGAAATTATTACAACATACATGTGTGCATGTGTGAAAAAAGCCAGTGATTATGGAAAATATCAGTTATACTGTATTAATGTCCTTCATGATTAATAATTTTTTTCTTTCACTATGCACATGTTCATTAGATGTCAATAGTATCAGTTATCCTCTTGAAAAACGTGATATATTTGATTTTGCCATTACTCTGTGGGAGATGCTAGCTCGTCAAGAGCCTGTGGTTACAGGAGATGACACTAAAACTATTTTTGAAATGCTGAATCAAATGGCAAATGGTAAGTTTCTTTTGATAATGCAATTTAGCACTGCTGAAATTTGTGCTACACAGTGTATGATGAATTTCAGTAGTGCTTAATATATG